CTAAATAGATGTTCCACTGATCTTTTTAAAGTAGGTTACGATAATGGGACTCAACTAGAGGGAAAGTGAGGAACCTCCAAAGAAGCCCATGACACAAGAAATAGAACCTCTCACACAGTTGAAGGAGAAGAGAAAATAGTTCAAACCAGAAGTCCCATAGATCACAGGCAAAGGGGAAAAGGGTGGGCCCGGCTGAGACAGTAATTGAAAAATACTCCAAGATGAACAAGGTAATGAGTGGGGGAGAGGAAAGACTCCTCCAGTTTGACCAGCCAACCTACCCATGCAGCTTTTTGAAGAAGAAACTTAATGTGAAGGTAAGAGATGGCTTGCAAAGGAGCTAGAAGCAACCAATCATCCATATAATGGTGGAAATAAAGGCCCCTGAAATGTAGAAAATGGGCAAAGGTCTTGACCACCTGACCTAAAGCGTAGAGAGCCAAAGCCGACCCAAGTGGAAAATCCTGGAACTGGTAGACACAATCCTGATGGACAAAATGAAGAAAATATCAGTGTGCTGGGGAGATGGAAGTGTGGAAGTAAACATCCAAGATATCTACCATTGTCATCCACAGACCAGGAGTGAAAACCCATTGAAGAGATAGGTGAGGCTTCATGGTAAAATGAGGAAGGTCTAGAAAGTGTTTCAAGGAAAAAAGATTGATGATGGGGCACCAGTCCCTGGTCTTCTTGGGACAACAAACAAAGGGGAGAAGGAACCACCCTTTCCACAATGCCCTTGGGAAGAAGGTTTAGAACTGGGATACAGAAAAGGGGAGGAGTTAAGAGGAACAAAGAATGAGCCCATCAGAAAGAGAACATGAAAAACCCAAAGGTCTAAAATGAAGGACTCCCACACTGTGGCAAAATGCAAAAGCTTTGCCCTCACCAAACCTATACTGACCACAAAGTCATCAAGGCTATCCTATTGCACTGAAAAGGTTGACGAAAAAATAATCGATGATTACCCTCATAGATCAGTGTAGCAGGAACCAATAAAGGGAAGAAAGGAAGGGGATGAGACATAGGTACAAGTTCAAGAGGAGGTTGAGACAAATGAGAAGCTAATGAGGAAAGGAAGGTATGCAAATGGGTAGACTCAACTCTGGACTTAAGAGGAGAGCCATACACAAGTCCCATTAGGAGGATGAGTGGTAAATGGACACAGAACAAAAGGGCTTCCCAACCCAAAAGATCCCCACAACAGAGGAGCCATGTTTGGTCTAAAGGGCAGAAGAGGGCAATCATGCCAGAGTGGAAAAAAATCAGGGCACGAGTCTTAACTGAAAAGCTCTGGGGGAGGGGGGGACCATAAAGAGCCTCAAACAAAAAATGAAGTGAGGAAAGGGAACAAAGTAGAGAGGATAAGGTGAGGCACATATGGGGAAATTGAGATTGGGAAAACATGACCGAAGTATTGGGATCCAAACCCACAAAGGCAGAAGAGAATGCAACTGCTGTAACTCCAAAAAAGGAAATGCAGACCAATGGTAAGCCAAAGCATGGGCTTCCATATTATATGGGAGTCAAGATACACTGACCCCAAAATGTAATTTGTTAAATACACCTATTGGCATGAACCCTAATATCTGGTGGGGGGGACAAGATATTGGCCTGAAGGTGTCTCACTTAAAAGGGAAGGGGAAGGAAACAAGAAACAGACAAAACAAACCTAGTTAATCAACTTTATGAAAGGAGAAGACCTGGGCACATCCATAGAAGTTAAATATGATTGTGTAGAATATGATGGGGGAGGAAACAGGCTGTTGAAATCATCATCCTCTTGTTTAGGTACCCCTGGCAAATCAGAAGCCCACATGAAAGTAGCCAACTCCCAGTGAACCAAGGCCAAAACATCTTCTGCCAATAACTGTAGACTGGAAGGCATTGTACAGGAAGTAAAGTTAACTACAGTAGGAACAGCAGTAGTAGTAGTTGTAAGGATAAACTCTGAATTAATGATAAATATGAATGGAAATAAAAAAACAATCTACAATTTGAGTGACCTCATGCTCTAAGTCAGGCAGTCATCTTTACCCACTTCCCATTGGTGAAAATTCACAAGTGCAAATGCACAGGGGGGGGGGGGGCTGTGCATGGAGGTGCATCACAATCCTATTGATGGACAGCTTCTGTCACATGAAGTCATCATCCAGTGGCACAATTCATGTAAAATTAAAAGTGGGAGTTGTCTCAAGGTTGGTGACATACAAATCTATTTGCAGATACGCAAGGAAGATAGCTAATTTGTGTATGGAGGTGAGTTATCGTCTCAAATGTAATATCTTTTTTCTTTAAGTTCCACTCATTTGAAGGTATATGATTCTAACAATACTGTACCTGACATGTGGCAGCATCAAGATGAGTAGCTCCAATGTAAATTAAGTTATTCTGTAGTGTGTACACCAAGGAAGGAACAGATACCTATACGAGAAAAATAAAAGAACTTGTACACATGTAATGTTAATGTCTAAATTCAGTATATTACTGAAACATGCACAAAAAAAATACACTTAGTGAAAGAGAAACCTTTACATATTAAGGGGGAGAGAACTACATACATTTCACACATTTGTCTGTATATGTTAAGATAAAAGTTTATTATTTTTACTTTTAAGAGAAGATTTAGGCCAAGTGGGAAATAGATATCTTAGATTTAGTAAATTGCTTCAGAAGTTTGATGGCAATTTCATAGAACACACATGTGTTATTTTCTTAAGTTCTAACAGCAAAATTAAACAAAAAAAAGTTTCCAACTGAAATGGTATAAATAAAAAAATACAAATAAACACTTGGTGGTAGTAAACATGCTATATCTTTGACAAGTTTTATAGACCACTTAAATAATTTAACCATACAAAACACTACTACTACTTTTACCTATCTCATTAACTCTTCTACTCTGAAGAAATAAAAATACTGTAGTGAAGACAGTTTACCAGATATATCAGAACTATCACTGGTTTACTTTATAAAATTATTTTGTTGCATACATAAGCCACCTAAAGTAAAACACTAATCTCACACAACAAACAAATCATTAAGTCCACAAACTTGAGAATGTCTCAACTTAATTTAATATCTCACCTTGAGGGTATCAAGTGGTTGCTTAATGACAATATTGAGTAGAGAGGTCCTCCAACGTTTAAAACTTCCTTCTTCTATAAACACCATAATCAGACATGTAACTAGTTTAACAAACTCTGCAATAACCACAGCTGTGCTGGCAATGAACAGGTCTTTTTGGGTTCGTGCCATTCTCATGGTTAAACCCAATGCTGCATTCTGAACTGTTAATGTGAGAAGTGAAGCATACTTCAAAACATTCTGTGTTCCTGTGAAAATAAAAACAAATTTAACACTAACAAAAGTGTTCAATACTCCATAATCAAATCATGTTTTAAAAAAACTAATTTTCATCTGTCAACTATTGTACATGTTATCTTATGTATACGTTAACTCCCAGTTTTTTAAACGTTGCAAATAAATATTACATAGCTTATTTGAAAAATGTACAGTCCTTTGTAGATATCTTATAAATTTAAAACTTATCACTATCTTACTGGTTAAGGTATTTTAATAAGATAAAATAAATCATTACACAAATAACACAAGTTATCAATTTCTGACTGAAAACCATCTTTATTAATACTGTTAATTTATACTGACCAAACACACACTTTTTATAATTTTCAATAATAGTTCATAGTAGTATTACTATTTGGAAGTTCACACTCTTTTCAATATAAACAAAAAAGAGACAACCATACACTTCCAGTACTAAGGTACAAAATTTTTTGCAACAACTTAAAAATGAGTGAGTGAACTCAAAAACTACTTATATCACAGCATAATAATTTTACAGACACAACTCAAAGCAAATTAAGAAATTTTGTCTGAAAAAAACATCAGCCTGTTACCATGTCATACAAAAGATATGTAGCATTATACTATATACTTCTTTTAAACATTTATCAAATTTATTTTGTACTTTTACCTCTTCGTACTTTAATTTCCATGCAATAAGCCTGTTAACCTGAAATCAAAGAAGCCTTTTACAATTGCCAAAAATCTGCATGCAAACTTGAAGGACATATTTCTACAGCCAAAGGAAAACATAGCAAAATAGCAAAGATTTTTGTTGCAAGGAAATTAAAGAATGAAGAAATAAGAAAAAAATTAGTTTGATGAACTGTTTAAGATAATTAAAAATTGGGGTGTGGGACCATTGCCTTTATTTACAAGTTATAAAATACGAAACCTAAATGTTACCTACAATGCACGTTTAATGTTTTTTTACGCAGTAATGTATGCACTTATTTAACTACTTGCATACTTTGTAAATATCTTATTTGACAAAGTAAAAACAAAAATTGAGTTTTTCACATGATATCAAGGATTGAATAATGCTATCAAAATACATTTATCAGATATAAATATGACAAATATTGTACATAGTTTTGTGTACATATTTCTGAATGATCATTTTACAATATACAGAGTGATTATAAAGAAATATTTTCAATATATATATAAATCAAAACTGACATTACATAGGAAGGTGATATTGATATAAAAGTATCATGCAAAATAAATTCCATAGTTATCACTAGAGAGTGCTAATGTGGTTTCTTTCACACATTATATAAATGTGCATGTCAATTGCAATGCAGCTCATTCAACCAATATGAAACTGACATGAGTGAAGAGAAGTAAATTAGTGAATTGTTTTCATACCAACAGATGCAATGCCAAAGCAGCTCTCAGACTGAATAGAATCTGCAGAGGACCTTGTTCCAGTGTTGTGTGTGTGGAGGAGAAAAGTTGCATTTGTAATAAGCCACATACCGGCTGACAAGTGAAACGTCTACTGAAGTCAGCCATGGCATAGCAGAACAAGCTAGCACATGTTCACACCGTTGCAGCAGCACACATTATGTCATCCAGTGTACGGATTTGCCAATTTGAGCTGTTCGTGATGCTCTTCTGTGAACTTTGTGAACGTTTCCTTAAAAGCTGCATCATGTTTAAACACTGAAGGAGTCGGACTTAACCCAATATGTCAATTCTGTCTTGCGGTTCTTGGCAAGAATAGAAGTCAACGACCAAAGGCCTGCCAATATCTTATGGATTGGTAGAGCACATTTCACCCTTCCTAGAAGTATTAATACATGCAGCTGCATTATCTGGTTAGAAACTAATCCACAAGCAACATTTCTCCACAAAGCTAAGGTAACAATGTGATATGGTTTCACAGCTCACTGTTATTGTACTCTACTTTCTTAAAGAACCATTACCACCTGGACTACAAACCTGCACATTCAATGTTGCATGGTACTACGAAATGTTCACAATCAATGTGCTTTCCCTGTTGCAGCAACAAAATGTGACAACACTACAGTTTTCAGGCAGTACATATAATGTTCCTCAGCACATTGGTAACCAGGTGAAACACGTCCTGCAGGAGATAACAAGACAGAATCACGGCACATCATTTTTCTTGTGAATGACCACTGGATCTCAGACCAGCTGATTTCTAGTTGAAGAGGTATCTAAGTCGTGTGTAACCTGGGAAATTTCATATTCTAGACCCAAAAATGCAAGTGCCCGGGAAGTGGCTAGCATACCAGATGAGATGCACGTTTTCACATCCAAAGTATCACAGATGCAATGCATTCTAGAAACTGGAGAAGCACACCTACAGTTACTAAGATTGATCAGACATTAGGGTTCCTCTGATGGTAACATACAATTGTGGTATTTGCATCCTTTGCATACCCTTAGCACCCCTGTGCAATTTCACCTACCTATGTCATACCATTTGTAAGATATGATATGCTGAACTATAAAATTTTCTTTTTAATCACCCTGTACTTGCAAAACTTGTATGTCAAAAAAATGGTGAATTTTAATTCTACTTTAAGATCTTTAATCCTCCAATGGCTCACCAGCAAGTCTGTAGGCTTACAATATTAGAATTTATGTTTCGATACCCATGATGAGAAAAGCACAGATAACCCATTGTGTAGCTTTGTGCTTAACAAAACAAAAATAAGACTAATTCATATCTAGAGCAGGCCTTGACAAATATTTCCAGATCTAGGGGCCAACCCAAAAACTCAGTAGCCAGATGTGTCTAACCTAACTTCAATACTGTTTGTACCAGAAAATGGGGGCTTGGATAGTTACTTTCACAGCAACGAGTGCATACTAACAATCACATGATATCAACAACCGCTTGATAGTATTGCCTGAACTAACTGCCTTTGGTCCCATCTGAGTCTAAACATGTGCAATGATTGGTTGAATTGAGAGAAAGAAGAAAAACAAAATTAGTAACGTGTTGTGCAACTGCAGTGCTTAATTTCTGAAACAAATATGAAAACGTACTGGATCCACCATTAAAATCATAGAAACAAAGTTTGACTTAGAACTCAAAGAATGTGAAAATAGTTTTGGACTTCCAAGAGTCCAGAACTGTTCTAGATTCAAGTTCAATTTAGCACAGTCATACCTACGAATGAATAAAATGGGAGAAAACACTAGTCACCATGATGAAATTTTTGTTGCCATAGTGACCTGGTGCCCAGGATTTGTTGAAGCCTAATCTAAAGACAGGGACTTTGCCAGCCAGCTGTTGTTTTCATGGCTGTTTATAATAAATACTTGATTTTGAACACATTTCTCATTTTGCTTGGTAGGTGATGTCTTGGATCAGGAGTTTTTAGTCAATGAGGTTTCATGGCAATACTCATATACTTACATAACATTACAGTGATCAAGACTTAAACTTGTTTAAAATTGCTAATGTTTCAACCTTATTCGATGTATTCAAGCAGTGGTTTTCAAACTTTACAAAGCCATGGAACCCTCTTATTTCATTTCTTTCATCATAGAACCTCAATCATTAACCCACCCTTAAAACCTTATTAGAAGTAGTCTTATTCCTCTCTAATCATACATAAATAGCAGAAAATTTACATCTGTATGAATATTAAATTTTTTTTGCTTGTGTACATAACTGCATGGAGAGGAATGAATATCAAATTGTCCCTAATGAGTTAACACTAATTATTTAAAAAACTACCTTTGTAGAAACCTGGAATGCCACAGAACACAGCTTGAAAACCACTGTTAGAGCATTTACAAGCATATCAATCATAATTTGTTTTCGTGTTTATGTACATGTTTGACTGATTTCACTAGGAGATGTCACACTAGAATCATTGTTTTACAGATATACAATAACATGTTATAAATTCCAATGAAAATAACGGATTCATAAAATGATTCATAACTTAATAAGGAAGAGGTTAAATGAATGGCAGTTTTATACAATAAAATTTCTTCTCAGGCTGGTCATTTTAAAGTTTTTACATCCAACTAAAATCTTTTCAAATTAACAAATAAATTTCCTTATACCAAAACAAAACTGTATTATAACATTAGCTTTGACTTTGAATCCTCACTTCCATAAAATATAATGATAAAAAAAAAATGTACAAAGTAAAACTGTTTCCTGAAAAATAAAATGACAAAAAAAAGCATTATTAAAAGAAACTTTAGATAATATACCTTAAACCATACATAGAGCTACATCTTTAAATGAAAGTATTACTTATTTTCTGAGGACTTAAAAATACACTAACATCTAAAAGTGTATAAAATACTTCACAGGGCACTCAATATCTAATTACATGCCTCAAAGAATGTTTTAAATTACACATTCAGAATTATCAAACTGTTGCATGATTCCACGGATACTATGAGAACTGTGAATACAGCTAAGTGTGAATAAATACTTGGAATTTTTTTTAACAGTTATATTTACTAAAGATTATTTTTTATTTCTAAGTTCTTATAGAATATTTAGATATTAAAGTTCAATCAATTTCTTTTTAACAAAAACAAATAAGAATTCTTTACCTACCACTCTTTAAGTCTTCTGCCAAGGCCATATCTGAAGTTGATTCCTCTGTTACACCAACGACTAAGTCTTTTCCTTCGTTATTGTTTGACATCTGCTGCCCACTGATAAAGAGTAGCAGACCTCTAGCTGGATCTTCAAACTTTGTGATACAAATTCACAAATTACATTTCAGGTAAAAATCTCTGGTTTCATGATTTCTTTTTGGCATATGCAGATATGGATGAATAATCCATGAAAGTTAAATGGAATTTCTTTCAACAGTGCATTGGTGTAATTTGAGTTTACTAAGCTATTATGTTTTCACAAAAATTCAGTTCAGTATATAACATTATGCAACATACCTACTACATAAATCATGCCTAAATGTAGAATCTCACAAAACAATCTCAAATACCAGAATAATTAACTATTAATTGTGAACTTTATTAATAACATTTACAACACTTTTATCATTGTGTGAGAAAATATCTTGCATATTTTCTTGATGCCTAATTTTATGTCTATTGAAATCTAACCTTTATCTTCAACACTAAAAACTAGTACATTTTTTTTCTAATTGTTATCCAGGCTCCTCCCAAATTTACCTTTTTCATTCTTTTAACTTATATAAGCTTAAAAACAATACAAAATAAAATGAAACTGATACTTTGAGTTAAACTAATTTCATGGTGTGTCTTTGCCTTATTAACCCTTTCAGCACGGGCTTGGTCCCTCAAACCGACCTCTTAACCATTTTGTGCTTGTTATAGTATTCATGCTAACTTTTAAATTAGTAAGCGAATGTTAACGAAATTTAGCAGATTATCAGTAAACATTATAATGCTCTCATATGCAAAATATCAATTTTTTTTTTAAATTAAGGTTTGTAAAGCAATGTTTTTCTAATGCCTTTTTTTTTCTTTTCACATGTTGCTTATATATCATGCAAAGTAATTTTCATTTTAAGATTAAAAATACTTTTATAGATCAGAAAATGTTCAAATTTCACATGCAAATCTTTATAATGTCCAGGTAGTTATCAAACGTTTCTTAATAAAAACTTTATATTTTATCTATTA